TTGGGGCTCCCCCACCCCGCAGCAACCCGAAAGGGACCGGCTCCCCCGGGTCACCCTGTCCATCAGGGCATGGCAGGGTGATGGAGTTCACCCTGCGCTTTTGGGATCTGGGCCCACCCAGCCGGGCCGCGAGGACACGGACAGCCGCGGCTCAACGGCCTTCTGTACCTGTTTATGGCAAAAAGGGGATTTTCGGTGGCGCTTTCCGGATTAGCTTGCAACGTCGCCATAGCGCCAGGGAAGTTTTAGGGGGTACAAACCCTGCTAAGCAGCCCCACGCGCTGGGGCGAAACGGCCAGGGTGTGGGTGAGCGCAGGAAGGGAGGCGTCCCCGGATGATTGACTTAAATTTCCTCATTTCAGCAAACGCGCCACTCTCAACACCTGGGGCCTCTCGCCTGCCGTTTCCCCCGTCCCATGCCCCCTTCTCGTGGGCTCTCAGAGGGCGCTCGGAAGCGTCTGATCTTAAATGACACAGCGAACACTGTATATTTTCCATGATACAGAGAAGCAGCCAAGCTCGCAAGTGCTGTAAATAAAGACACTTGCTGGCTCTGGGACCGGAGGAGCCTCCTCCGAGCCTGCTCCCCCCGCACCCCCCGGCAGCGGCTTTTTCGGGGGGCGCGGGCCGCCCCGGGGCGGCTCTCAGTCCCTCCCCGTGCAAAGGGCCGCTCGTGCAAAGGGCCACGCTCGCACCTCGGGCCCTTTTTGACTTTCCTCCTGCTCTTGTCACCCTCCAGCGACCGGTCACAACCCACTGATACCAGACAGCAAGTAAGCACAGCACATCCGACTTCACAAACAACTCCGAGGCCAACGGCAGAGCGCTCAGGCAGCCCTCGAGTCACGAACATGTCAAAAAGTAATAACAATTAGCAGCGGATCATTTCTGGAGCTAAAAAAAGGCTTAACTTACAGAAGACTTCTTTGGTGCAGACCAACACATGGAGATCTGCTGGCCTCAAAGCGTTCCCCTGCCTCAGTGTCACCTTCAGCATGAGGGGGGACATGGCACAAGGGGGGTCTTGGGGGGGGGTATAGCAAAGGTCTAGGTTTGGGGACCCCATCCCTATTCTAAGCAGTACCAGCTTTTCAGGCACGAATCACCATCCCTGAGGTCTGCACCCCGTCGCTGTTTGGCCTTCCCAGCTGTGGGGGCTCTCCCCCTTTGCACGGAGGGGTGCAGGAGGGCAGGTGGCTGCTGACTCCCGCCGTGCCCGCTGCCCGAG